GTTGAATGAGTAATAATAGTTGGGTCTTTTGGATCAGCATATTGTTTAAAAAGAACTAACCCTGTTTGAATCAAAATGTTTTGATAATAATTTTGAGATTTTTGCAAATCCCATGGTTTGTAATGCCATCCTTGGAAGGCTTTTCTGATGGCAATATGAGGGAGTTCTTGGTATAATCCTTCCTCTATTAAGAAGACGTTTTGAGTGTTTTTCTTTCTGAAATATTAGGTCTGACTACCTGAGGTAGATGATTGGGATTGTGTTTGGGATAGGGTTTGGTAAAGGAAAATACTCTGTAATTCTATCTTTTTGGGTTTATGAAGTACTATTTCTCTTCCCTGGTTTTTTTGAAGGGCTGCAACGGCGGCTTGTTTCATTGGTGTGTCTTTCTCTGTTTTGGAAGCTAAGGCTAATGCTATTTCTGGGGAACTTGTAAGGGCTTCAACCCATTTTTGGATTTCAGAATCAATATCATTAGGGTCTTGAGCATCTTGAGGAATCTGGTCTTGATTCTGGATTGGGTCTTGTTGTTGTTCTTCTTCTTGGTTATATATTTCGTACCATGATCTGACTGATTTTTGGGATAACTTTGGGGGTTATTCCCTTTGGGCTTCTTTTCCTTTTTCTTTTCTATCTCTAGATTGGGTCTTGTTGTTCTTAAAAATCTCTGTAACATGATCAACACCTGGAGTAGTCTCAGACGGGTGGCTTCATAAACATAGTCATCATCTGGAGTAATCTCCCAATGGATGGCAATCATCATCCAGAGTAGTCTCAAATGGGTGGCATCATCATAATTGTCATGACCCAAACTCAGTGGCATGTGACCGGTGCACAAGTTTGGTAGATAAAGCCTACAAGACTTGAGTAAGCCTTAAAATTACAAATCATATGGATATAGTCAAGGTTTCTAGTAGTCATATTCATAAAATATTTAAATTCAAATACATAAATGTGGCCCTTGGCACATAGTTCATACACAATATTTAATACAATATTCATAAGGCCATACATTGGCCATTAAGTGTATTTGTACTTTACAATGCTTAGCACACGTTTAAATGGCAGACGAACTACAAAATGTAAAAGCTCATGACAGACTTAGCGGGGTGGACATGTTAAGATGAAAACCTACCGGATGCCAAAATTGGTCTATCTTGTGACCTATTTATCTACACATGGTATAATAAATAGGTGAGTCATCTAATACTTAGTGAAGGGTGTAGATAAATCAAACATATATATATATATATATATATATAAAAGTCCTAAAGTTACTATCAAAATATTTTGATTCAAACAGGGTCAACCCTTTTTAAACAACATGCTTATCCAAAAGATCCAACCCTTATTACTCATTCAACAGCACAAATTTTAAAAGTTTTAAGGCCGATTGATTGGGAAGAAAATCTAAATCTTTGCAAAAGATTTCTAACAAGTTTTTCAAATACAATTAACCATTGCCCTGTTTTCAACTACTGGGATTACCAATAGGCATGGTTCAATATTTTTCTTTACAACAACAAACACAACCGACATTCTTGGTTGATGTTTTTCAAATATGAAAACAAATACAAATTTTCAAATTGGTTTCCAAATTTCTACAAGAAATTGATTTTTTGTTTGTTGATAATTATTGGGGATTTCAGAAGGTATAAAAGTAGGTTTTATTTCTTTTTCTTGATTTAAAGGATTAGATGTTTGTTGAATATTGGCTGGGTTTTGAAGTTTTGTTTCAATTGTATCTAATTGTTCTGATATAGAATGTAAATTTAAGTTTGTAAAGTTATTTTGTTCTATTATCATTTTTATGTCTTTTGATTTATAGAAAACTATTTATTTTGGATACAAGAGTTTTTCAGAGAAGAAATATGATCTTACTAAAATATTTCTTATCCGAGGAAAAAACCTTTTTCTTTCTGAGGATTTGAAGGGATTTATATAGGGTATCCCTTTTCATTTCAATTTTACATTTCATTTCCTTTTTCATTTACATTTCATTTGATTTTGTCGGTGGGACAGATACTGTTGACCCATTATCTTTTGTCAACTGCTTTTTGACTGTTGATCCATCAGTTGCTTTTGGACCGACTGTTTTTGGTTTTCTTATTTGGGCAGTTGCTTTCAGCTACTTTTGACGACTTTACTTTTTAGGCATGACGTGTTGCTTTTGTTGCTATGCTTCCAATGTGATTCTGTCTGCCATCATTGTTTATCTCTTTCTTCTTGGAGGGATGTAGTCTTCATCCTGAGACAATTTGGTGGTTGCTCTGGATGAGGCTGAATCTTCTTCTTCTATTTCCTCTTCTTCATCAGAATCAAGGGAACTTAACATTTTTGCCATTATCTTCTTGTATTCTGATTTTGACTTGGCCTGAGCTAATCTGGCACTGGCATTGGACTTGGCTTGTAAAAACCTGACATTTTTCTGAGAGGTTTCCATGCCTTTGCAAAGTGTTGGATTCTTTTGCAACCATGTGATCAAGCATTGAGGATTGTATTTCCTTTCATCAAATTTATACCACCATTTGGTTCTGAAAATTCTGACGACCATTGGTGCTCCAATATGGACATCATTTTCAAATGCATAATCCCAGGAGGTGATCCATGAGATTGTTAATTTGGAGAAAAAATGTATTGAAGTATACAAATTTGCCTGATCTTCCTCAGGTTTAAAGCATTTTGAAAATTTTTCATAGAGTTCTTCAATTTTAGGTGGAAGAATTTCTCTTAACGGACCAAACCAGTTCCACCAATGAGAAAACCAATTTGAAAATTTATATTTGTTTCCATATTTGAAAAACATCAACCAAGAATGTTGGTTGTGTTTGTTGTTGTAAAAGAAAGTATTGAACCAAGCCTATTGGTAATCTCAGTAGTTGAAAATAGTACAATGGTTAATTGTATTTGAAAAACTTGTTAGAAATCTTTTGCAAAGATTTAGATTTTCTCCCCAATCAATCGGCCTTAAAACTTTTAAAATTTGTACCGTTGAATGAGTAATAAGGGTTGGATCTTTTGGATCAACATATTGTTTAAAAAAGGCTGACCCTGTTTGAGTCAAAATATTTTGATTACTTTGGGACTTTTGCAAATCCCATGGTTTGTAATGCCATCCCTGAAAAAGCTTTTCGGATAGCAATATGGGGAAGTTCTTGATATAATCCTTCTTCTATAAGAAGAATATTTTGGGTATCTTTCTTTCTGAAGTATTGGGTTTGGCTTTCTGAATTAGATGATTGGGATTGTGTTTGGGTAAGTGTTTGATCAGGGAAAATACTCTGTAAGTTTTGTTTAGGTTTATGGAGTACTATCTCTCTTTCCTGGTTTTTTTGAAGGGCTGCAAGGGCGGCTTGTTTCATTGGTGTATCTTGTTCTGTTTTGGAGGCTAAGGCTAATGCTACCTCTGGGGAATTTGTGAGGGCTTCAACCCATTTTTGGATTTCAGAATCAATATCATTGGGGTCTTGGGCATCTTGAGGAATTTGATCTTGGGTTGGATTTTGGTGTTGTTCTTCTTCTTGGGTACATATCTCGTAACATGATCTGACTGGTTTTTGGGATAATATTGGGGATGCTTCCATTTTGGCTTCTTTCCTTTTATCCTTTTGGTCTCTCAGTTTAGGGGGCATTTTTTCTTTGCTCCTGCAAGTATGCAAGTATTGAGATTTTCAATTAAGACCTCTCTTGGACTTCTGAAATAATTCTTATTGATTCTAGGTAATATTTTTTGTAACCAGAATTTATAAAAGGATTTTTTGTCTCTCTCTGACAAGATTACTAAATCCTGCCATGGTAAATCTAGATCTCTGTGTTTTCTGGAAGGGGGTATGTTTTTCCCTGTAAAAATTCTCTTGTAAGAAAATCGGGTAAAGAATTTGATTCTCCTTTGATATATTGAATGTCAAAGTCAAATATGCTTAAAATTGCTTGCCATCTGGCAAAAATTTGTTTTGATGCAATATTTTGAACATTTTTTTGTAAGATTTCTTTGGTTGATTTGCAATCTATTTTCAAAAAGAATTTTTTGTTTAATAAATCACTTTGAAATTTTGAAATGCATAACACAATGGATAAAATTTTTTTTTTGACTGTGCTATAATTTTACTGTGCCAGAGTCCAGTGCCTAGAAGTGTACTAAACTATTTGTTCTTTACCATTTTTGATTTTTTTTAATATTCCACCATAACCTAATTCAGAGGCATCTGTTTCTACAATCTTGGGTGTATCTAGATCTGCTAGGTGTAGGCAGGGAAGGTCTTTGACTTGGATTTTTATTTTTCTAACAATGTCTGTATGAGTTTGTGTCCATGGTATTGGATTCTTTTTAAGTCTCTAGTGCAGTGGTTTGCACATTTTGCTTAATCCTGGATAGAAATCCATAATATAATTAAGGCTTCCTAGAAATCTTTGTAACTAAGTTTTATCAGTTATTTTATCTGAGAATTTTTCAACAAATTTTATTAATCTTTCTATTGTGGTTATTGTACCCTGTGTGATATAATGTCCTAAGAACCTGATTTTGGTTTGGAAGAG